TCAAATTTGCTCTTAAGCAGTGGAACAAGGATGTTTTTGGGAATCTGGAATGGAGGAAGAACAGAGTCCTTGCTGATTTCTCCGAGATTGATCGTCTTGAGGAGACGGGAGGGGATGTGGAGTCTTTACGTTCTAGGAGAGCTTCCTGTCAGGCTATTCTTGCTGAGATTACTAGTATGGAGGAGATTTCGTGGCGACAAAAATCTCGGGCTCTTTGGCTAAAAGAAGGAGATCGGAACACAAAATTCTTCCACAGATTAGCTAATGCTCATAGGAGGAGTAATCATATAGGAACAATTCGGGTGGAAGATGAGGAGTTGTGGAGGGAAGAAAAGGTGCGCAATGGGATTGCTTCTTTTTATCAGAAGCTTTACACTGAGCCAATAGTTTCCAAACTTGATAGTCTCATTTTGAGGCTATTTCTGAGCTGGATAGAGATAGGATTGGGAATCCTTTTACTAAAAAAGAAGTTCTAAAGGCTTTATCAAGTTGTAATGGAGACAAAGCTCCGGGGCCTGACGGTATTACTATGCGTTTTCTAATGGAAAGTTGGGCGGTAGTAAGAAATGAGGTAATAGGTACTTTTCAGGAGTTTCATTCTATTGGCGTCTTTGAGAAGTCGCTTAATGCTTCATTTATTGCCCTTATCCCTAAGAAGGGAGGCGCTTCTGACATAAAGGATTTCTGTCCAATTAGTTTGGTAGGCTGTATTTACAAACTTAATGCTAAGGTGCTTGCTCTAAGGATGAGGGAAGTAATGGATGGGATTATTTTAAACTCCCAGAACGCTTTTGTTGGAGAACGGCAAATTCTTGATTCAATTCTTATTGTAGGCGAATGTGTGGATTCCAAGTTGCGGAGTTGTATTCCTGGAGTTTTATGCAAACTTGATATTGAGAAAGCATATGATCATGTGAATTGGAATTTCCTACTTTATTTGTTACAAAGAAGGGGGTTTGGAAGTAAATGGAGGAAGTGGATTGAGACTTGTCTTTCGTCTGTCAAGTTTTCAATTCTTGTGAATGGTTCTCCCGCTGGTTTCTTTGGTTGCACTCGGGGTATAAGACAAGGTGATCCTTTGTCATCTTTCCTTTTTCTTGTTGTTATGGAGGGTTTAAGCAGACTCATGCGTAGGGTAAAGGACCCTGGTTTTATTAAGGGATTCAAGGTGGGTAGAGATTCAGTCCATCAGATGGAGATCTCTCATTTACTTCTTGGAGACGATACCCTGGTTTTCTGTGATGCTGATGTGTCTCAGCTTCGATATTTGAGGTGCATCATGGCTTGTTTTCATGCGATTTTCGGGCTAAAGGTCAATGTGGCTAAGAGTGTGCTTGTCCCGGTAGGGAATGTTCAGGATATCCCCTCTTTAGCCGCAGTTCTTGGATGCAGGGTGATTTCTTTCCCTATTCCTTATTTGGGTTTGCCCCTAGGGGTCTCTTCAAGGATAGTGGGGAGTTGGGATTCAGTGATTGACAGGTATGCAAAGAGATTGGCAGGATGGAAGAAGCAATACTTGTCCAAGGGGGGTAAAGTTACTCTTCTTAAGAGTGCATTATCGAGCCTCCCCACTTATTTTCTTTCTATGTTCCTAGGGCTGCAAACGAACCGAGCCGTTCGCGAACTGCTCGGGCTCGGCTCGTTAATTACTCAGCTCGAGCTCGGCTCGTGAATAAGTGAACCGAGCTCGAGCCAAATTATGAGGCTCGATTTATAAACGAGCCGAGCTTGAACATCAGTAGGCTCGACTAGTTTGTTCATGAACCGTTCACAAACCGGGCTCGATAATGCGTTCACGAACATACTCGATTATATATATATATATATACACACACACACACACATATCCAACTATAATATATACAAAAGTTGGGGTCAGATTGTAATTATATATAGAATTTTTGGTTATTATGCAAATAGGCCTTTCTTGTCTTTGTATATAAACCTTTTTAAGTCTCGCCTCAATCTGGTCTCTCTCATGTAAACTTTTTTTTTTTTTTTTCCCTGAAGGTAACACAGCAGCAACAAACTCATCAAACACATACACACCATTGGGACACCAACAATACCCATCTCGTCTCTCATGTAAACTGGTACATGTATATATATATATATATATATATACAAACTGATTTTTAGTATAAATTTTGGGATTTATTACTGCAAATCCATTTCTCTCATACTTTTTTATATTTTTTGTTGTTCTAACAGATCTTAGATGCGAATTTTTTTTAATTATTTGTTCCAGATCTGTTAGAACAACATATCTTAGATGCGAAGTACCAAAAACAGATCTTAAATGCGATTTTGCTCAGCTCGATGCGAAGTACACAAATTTTAGAGCAACAGATTTTTTGTTCCAGATCTTAGAACAACAGATTTTTTGTATGGTACAAAAAATAGATCTTAGAAAAACAGATTTTTTGTTCCAGATCTGTTAGAACAACAGATCTTAGATGCGAAGTACCAAAAAAAAATAATAATAATAATAAAAGAAAATAAACGAGCTCTCGGCTCGAAGCTCATCAAACAGAGCCGAGCCGAGTTCGAACTAAATTTTCTAGGCTCGATTCGAACTCGAACCGAGCTTGAACAGCTTATTATGTTGACCGAGCCGAGCTCGAGCACACCATTACTCAGCTCGGCTCGGCTTATTTACAGCCTTATATGTTCCAAATCCCTTGCTCCGTTGTGGATAGGATTGAAAAAATTCAAAGGGATTTCCTATGGGGAGGAAGGGGTGATGAGTTCAAGCATTCACCTTGTCAAATGGGAGCAAGTTTGCAAGCCTATGAAATTGGGTGGTCTTGGCATAAGACGATTAGTTCCTTTCAATCAAGCTCTCCTAGGCAAATGGTTATGGAGATATAGTTGGGAAAGACATCGTCCTTGGCGCAAGTTAGTCTCTTTGGGGAATAGGTTGGCGGCTGGTCCACACGTCTGGTTTTCTTTGCGGGAGGTGTAGGGATGTGGAAGTCTATTCGGAAAGGATGGGATGCTTTTTCTGCTTATATCAGATTCAAAGTCCGTGATGGACGTCGCGTTCGTTTTTGGGAAGATCTTTGGTGCAGTGATCAGCCATTATCTCGTACTTTTCCTATATTATACAGTATTGCAACTGATAAACACGCCTACGTAGCTGACTGTTATCGGCTTGATAGCAATGGGATTACGTGGAATGTGCACTTTCGGCGTTCTTTTCAGGATTGGGAGTTGGATGAGGTATGTGTTTTTCTAGATCTTTTATATCGGCAGGAGGGTGTTGGCAGAGATCATGATGATTTGATTTGGGTTCCATCTTCCCACGGTCGTTTCAAAGTGAGATCCTTGTTCGTATATCTGTCTAATTTTCATAATCGTGACTTCCTATGAAAGACTATTTGGCGATCCATGGCTCCAACTAGGGTGGCTTTATTTGTCTGGACCGCTGTTTGGGGAAAGATTCTGACAATTGATAACTTGAGGAAAAGGGGCAATTGTATTGTTAATCGGTGTTGTCTATGCAAGAAAGATGGGGAGTCAATTGATCATCTCCTAATACATTGCCCTGTGACGAATGACTGTTGGAATTTTATTCTTGGGTTCTTCGGCATACGTTGGGTAATGCCACGATCTACTAAGGACTTGATTCATGTTTGGAGAGGATATCGTGTGAGACGGGATGTACACGATTTCTGGAGAATTGTCCCACATTGTCTATGGTGGTGCATCTGGAAGGAGAGAAATAGTAGAATGTTCGAGGGGAAAGAGTCATCTACGGCAATGTTGAAACTTCACATTCTTCGTTCTCTTTTTAATTACGTGAAGAGGAGCTCTTGCTCCTCTTCTGATGATTTAATTATTTTTTTTGGATTCTTTGGGGCCTTAGCCCAGGTTCCACTTCTGCTTTAAGGGACGCGTTCCCCTTTTGAACGCCTTTTTATGTTATTATTACTTATCAAAAAAAAAAAAAAAAAGTTGTAACTGTGTATGTCTTAACACAGTCTTTGTCCAATATGCATTATGAATGTAGGATTCTTTGACAATTTTCCTCCCAAGTGTTCCAAAAGAAATCAACAGGGCAGTTTCCATAATGTAGAGTTTTCATCTATTCTATAGCATGGGAGCAGGGTTGTTAATGGGCTAACAAAACCAAATTTTAGCACATTTCTTTCCCTACGCATATGAATTAATGTGGGCCAATGATAAGAGGAAGGGCAGTGAGAAGAAGAGTTTCTGTTGGCCTAACCCAAAAAGGTTGTGATAGGGCATTGCTGAGAAGTAGTACATTTTTGAAAATTTCTATACGTTTCATTTAATATGCGGTTCCAAATTTCAATGTAAGATCTCACCTGCTTGCAAACACCTAAGAGTTTTGCCCTCAAAAGTTGAGGCATAAACCTCATGAAGCATTATTTAATGATACAGAAAGCTTATTTAGAGATAAAGCATACTACCAAAGTTAACCAAAGGATATGATTGACGCTCTATCGGTAATCTTAATTCAAGAAGATTGTACATAAAAGTAACATATTAGTGGTTCAATCAAGAAACAAGGTTGATCATAACAAAAGGCCCTTGGTTAACGTTCAATTATATCATTGTTAATATAATTAAATCACAAAAGAGAATGTTTGGTCAATTAAAAGAACCCCTAAAAAAATTGCAAAATTAATATGACGTACAATGTATGCATCATCATAACAATGTAGAAAAAAGACTAAGGAATGAATCCATAGTGTCTAAAAATCAATTTAAAATTTATGCACGAGAGATATACTATGGAGGCCATTTATTTAATTAGACAACTAATAAAAGATTGTGGAAACAAATAAAAAGATGTGCACATAGTTTCCAGACTCAGAGAAGTATAAATTGGTGTGCCTTCCAAAAAAAACCTGTCCCTTTAAAACTTACAAAGATTATTAAGGATATGTATAACAAAACACAGACTGTTTGTATCAGATGTGGAAAAACTACTAGTTTTTTCCGATAAAATGGGATTACACTAAGTATCAGTTCTTAAACTATACCCATTTAAAATAGTCTTAAATGAACTTACAAAGATACACAAGAAGACATTCTATGGTAAATGATGTTGATAACATAGTGTTATTCGAAACTTGTAAGGAAGTCTTAGCAACAAATTAAACAAAAGAATTAAGAAATAGGAAGAAAAACAGATTCTCGGAAAGAGATACCACCACAACAACAACAATTGAAGACCAAAGAATTACTCAAAAATAATTGCTTTCGATACTTGGGATCAATAAAAAAGACGGGAAGAAAAATGATGTTACTTGCAGGATTGGAGTGTGATAGACAAAATGGAGAACTAGGAAGCACAGGCAGTTCTCCTATGGGTGTCGTGGAAGTGTCCGACACTTGGACATGCGGTCATGCATAGGACACAACCCAGACCTGGAATCTGAATTTTATTTTTCTGGTTGGAAGCGGCTGGATTACGACATGGACATAACAGGAACACGTTTGGCACGCTTTCAGGACACGATACGGTATAATTATTTTTCTTAGAAAAATGTGATTCCAATGAAATTTTAAAATAAATTGTGCGTTAACTAGATTAGGAAAGGGCTTGGTTGTTGTTGTATTATGGGTTAATTAGAAAATTAATATAAAATTTTAAAAAACAACAAACAACAAACATCTAGCTCTTAGGACCAAATTAATAAATTCATTAATGATAATGTCGATAAAATTAGAAAATTTGATTTATATATATAATATATTATATTATTATTTTTTGCATATCTCTGCCATATCGTTGTGTCAAGCTCGTGTCACGCATCTATATCCCTACTTCCTACGTAGTAGATGGAGACACACCAGTGGTATCCCATGTGATAAAAATACTAAATAATTTAAAAGGAAAATTCTTATGGAATAGTTATTAGGCTAGCTATCTTATACAAGGTAGAGTGAAGGGCTTTAAAAAAATAAATAAGAACAACACATTCATATAGCTAGAGTGATAGTGTTGAGATGGATGAAAGAGGTGACTAAAATAGATAAGTTTACTAATTAAAATGTGAGGGAGATATTATGAATAGCATCTATTAGTAACAAAATATGAAAAAACAGGCTTAGGTAGTATTAAGATATACAAGTCAACTCGCCGATGCACCAAAAAGAAAGATTAGTACTATGCATAGAAGGTAGAAGACACGAGGCCGACCAAAACTAACTTGGGATGAATTAATTAGAAATGATTTAGAAAAATTAAATATCAGAGAAACCATGGTTTCTAATAGAATAAAGCAGAAAAAGAGAATTCAAGTAGCTGGCCCCTCTTTTTTGGAATACGAGGGGAAAATGATAGTCTAAGAAGCACGGAAATGGATATGGGACACGACACGGATACGGCGACACGGATACAGCGACACGGCAAATCCTAAAAAATTAGGATACGGACACGGCGGGGACACGGCAAATCCTAAAAAATTAGTTTCTATATATATGATGATGTACTTTAAGAAATTAGGAGTAATATTATTTTTTACAATCTCATAATGAAAAAAAAAATATGTGTTTTGCTGGAAAAAGGAAAGAATGACAGAGAGTGCTAAGAAAGAGAGAGAGAGAGAGAGAGAGAGAGAGAGAGAGAACAAAAAAAAAATTAGACAAAGAGAATTAGGATTTTGTTAGAAAAAGAATTAGGCCTTGGTTAAAAATAAAGGTAAGAATCCATAAAAGAGAAAAAAGTTAATGACGAATAGAGGAAAAAGAGACAAAAAGAAATTTATTGTGAAAGGAAAAAAGGAAGTATTTAGGGTTTGTGAAGAACAAGAAGAAAGAAAAGAGGAGGACGAAGAAAAAGAGAGAAAAGAGGAGAAAGAGGAGAGAGAGATAGAGAGAAAAGAGGTCGAATCTTTGAACTAAAATATAAGAATAAATATCTAATTGTTTGAATATAAAATTGTTTTATGAAACAAGTAGTTTTTAAGTAATTAAACTCCTAATATTTACACTTCAACTCAACATTGTTTCTAAAACTTTCTTAAAAATCCCCAAAGAGTGGGACACGCATGTCGGACACGTATCCATGGTGTGTCGGAAGTGTGGCGTGTCCGGATATTTGAAAAAATATAAAATATTCGGAAGTGTATTTTAGCATGCCCGACACGTGTTGGGGCGTGTCCGTGTCCGACACAGATTCTTTGCCCTTTTAGGCGTGTCCATGCTTCCAGATGATAGTGCATGCTTCAAGAGTTCGAAGTATGAAAAAATGCACTTTTGTATGCCTCGCGACACAAAGCAAATACATGAGGCATAAGTTCAACAAGACCTTGCATAATTCACAAAGACTCGAGCTGGAATAGGCCTGCCTAGACTTGACACATATTGAAGAAATAAGATGAATTGCATCTCAATCTGAAAACAAATTGAAGGATATGTAAAGCAAAGTTAAAGAATAACGACTCTTCCCAAAGGCCTCTTGTCTCATTATTAGAAAGGAAATACTACCCAGCGAATGACAAAAAGCTCACATAAGCTGTAAATGTCATATGCTAGCAAAAAACTATTACTCACCTTCCATGCCTGCTAGTGTGAAGCTTGTATAGATTCATTCCCTCCTCCAAAATAGACTTCACAGAATCAGGTAGAGGACTCCTGCATATGCAGAAAAAAAACAGTAACAAAACGACACTATTAGTCAGTCACAAAGAGAAAAGAGGTTAGGTAATAAAAATATGGCCTTCAATTGTGTTTGCCCTTTAAGACAAGAAATACCGGTAACTAAAAAAAAAATGAAAAAATAAAGATAAATAATTCAAGATATATTTAAAGACTCTGAATCACACAAGGAAATAAACTTAAAGTTAAGAGGACTAAAGCGTACAAAACAATAAACATGAATGATTCCAGAATGTGTTTGCCAACACCAAAAGACGCATGTTTAATCATTGGTTTATACAGTGGCCAAAAATAACAGTGTGGTGAACCATACAAACAGTGGCCTTAGTGAAGCTGTTTGAGCAAATACGAGAGACACGGTACTAGCTAAAATCTACAAGCCAAATTCAACAATATTTCCTTTCTCTTCTTCTTCAATTATTTTTATTTTTTTCCTTTTTTCCTTATCAAAGTGGTCCAAGGCTTTGGGGTAGGCTGCAATGATCCTTTTTTGCCATCCACTCCTCAGAAGGCAAAATTTTCAATTAAATCCAAGGACATAACATCTTCCCACATCACTCCAATCAATTTTGTTAAACAAACCATCCCCCCCTCCCTCCCAAACTTATAGTACAAATACCACTGTGGCTCATACTTTATGAAAAACTCAAGTCAAATATGCCAACTGGTGAGTGTTGACAAACTAATTTGTTCACCTAGATCTAGCATGCAATTAAGGGTAAATCAGTAGTGAAACTTAAATATTCCGTGCTTCAAAACTTAATGTAAGGACACTCCGGGGCTAAAGATCAATCTAAGCTGCTCAGCTCTCCTTGAGCTCGACTCACCAGACGCTCTACACTCTAGCTCATTAATTATGAGCTAAGGATGCAACTTTGGATTGTCATCTAAATGGGCAATTCTTTATGAGCTCGAGACATGAACACTGGTGATCATGTAATTAGACAGCTGTAATTTTCCTTACGTACCAAACTAATTTGTTCACCTAGATCGAGACATGAACACTGGTGAACGTACCAAAGCTTCCTTGTAATTTTCAGTTCTCCAAAAATTATATATTCCTTACAGTCGATCAGAAAGGCCAATCAATCCTCCAACTTTGGTACGCTTTAGTACGATCGAGCATAATCCCATAAGCCAAAAATCAATTTGGATTTATGCCATGGAGATCCACTACAAAGGCCATATATCTATTAAGGCAGTTAGCAGAGGAGTGTGGAAGTAAGCAAAAAGATCTACACATGATTTTTATAGACCAAGAGAAGGCATATGATAGAGTTCTTAGAGATATGATTTGGTGGGCCCTACAAAGAAAACATATTCCGGAATAATATATAGAACTTACTCAGGATATGTATAAGGATACTAAGACTAGAGTTCGTACTATATGTGAAGAGATGAATGATTTTCCAATAGAAGTATGATTACACCAAGGTCGGGCGCTAAGTCCATATTTATTTATGGTAATATTAGATGAAATAACAAAAACTTGCAAGGCCGGTCCATGTTATTTGCAGATGACATAGTGCTATTGGATAGCTCTAAGTAAACTTCAGCAAAAAAAATTAGCAAGGTATGTAAATTTAGTGGTGCTATAAAAAATGATTAGGTAATAATAAAAATTCAAGGCCAAAGCACCACTCAAAGTAACTATTTTCGATAATTAGTATCAATTATACAAACGGGGGTCGGTGGCTGGTGAATATCAAGCCTTCAGAAATGAACAGTGGAGTTTTTATACAGTAGTACCAACATGAACTACTGGGATATGGTGCTGCAGGTGTTATTGTGTTACTACTTAGAAGTAACTACACAAACCCATACAACCCTTTTACAAACAATAATTTCCATCATTTAATAGCATAGCAATGAACTAAAATTTTGGAATATGATAATTTTGATAGAATTCAAGTATCATAGTATGGAACTTTCTGACCTATCAGGCTTCAATAAAGGCATCTTCACAATTGAGCCAAAACGTTCAATTAGCTCACTCTCAAAGTCTTTGCGACGCTGAGAAATGCAAGCAAAAGAGTTTAATAAAATGGTTAACGAGAAACATTTCCATTGTGCTAATAGCTACATAAGATGTTATACCTTTCCCTCGTAAAGGTGATAAAACATTAGCAACACATAACCAGCATTAGGAGAGGCCTTGTCAAGATTGCCCTTCAAAATTTATGCATGGAAAAGGAAGAATCAAGAATATGGTATTCAATATTAGTGTATCCAAAATCACAAATAAAAATAGAAAGAAGGAACAAGTACCGGATGATTAACTCGGTGAAGCACGCGATGTATGAAGACCGCTAATGCATCAAGAGAAAATGGATTTGTTTCAGTTCCTGCAAATTTACAGAAGAAAATTGAAAAAAAATAAATGGTGAAACAAATTAATCATCTGGCAAAGATGTACGAGATAAACAAACAAAGATCAACAGTTCAAACTATAACTAGAACACCAACATATCTATAGCTATCATTTCCTAACCTATTCAAGGTGTGAAAATCAACTTCTACGACAGTTAGAAGACATTATTTCAAGACATCATATTTCTTAGTTCCCTAATAGAAATAAAGGAAAAATGTGATAGATCTTCCATGAGGTAACTGAGTACCAAATACTGACACGTTATAACTTGAGACTTAGAACTAGATCTGAAAACCCAAAACACCTGGCAACCAATTAGAAGCATGCCCCTGTATGTCAATTTACAGATCCAGAGAGATCCCATCTAGTATCAAAATGCAAAGCACCATGTGAAGAAGATGGGCATTAAGAATACCGAAACCACAAAAAACATGTATTCCATGCATGCATAGTGCTTCAAGAGGAGCTCAGTGTAGTCTAGCTAGTATGCTCCACCCTAGTAGATGGCTCCACCATTTTTTTTTTTTTTTTGATAAGTAGTAGATGGCTCCACTTATAAAGCTGCGTTACAAATAGACATCATAACAAATTCCATGCATGGCCCTGAAACCTTAACAATATACACGTGTATGCATATGTGCCCGTATGTATGTGTACAAGTCTACCATGTATGCATGTATCGAAAATACTAAACTAGAAAATTTGTCAAATGATTAAAAAAAAAAAAAAAAAAAATGCATATGCAAGTCATCTGAAAGTAAGAAGAATGATATAAGAGCCCAATGATGACTACTTAATTCTGCCACAATCATCTTAATGAGTCTAAAGAGAAAGTCAAACATGAAAAGCATTAAACCCCATGCCAAACAAAGAGCATTTGGCAATAGTCTACAAGGAAAAATCAATACTGCCAGTAAAAATTGTACAACGAAATTGACAGTAACAAATTTTTTTTTTGATAAGTTGAAATTGACAGCAACATGAAGCCAAGAAAAATTTTTCTACGGAAACACAGTAATAGTAGAAAAACTGAAAACAAAGAAAATAAACAGCTTCAAAACTAGCTAGAGATAGTAACCTTCAGAGTCAGGTACAACTGGAACTGCAGAAGATTTGGTTCTTCCGCACATGTCCTCAATCTGTAAAAAAAGAAAAGAAAATAATCATTGTAATGCAAACCGGAGAAAAATGAAGATATGTTTCAATACTAACATCTTGGTACCACGCATGCACTCTCTCACTCTCACGCTCTATCTCTCTCTATATATGTGTGTGTGTGTGTGTGTATATATGAGTATATATATAATTCACTTTTAACTTCAACCTTTAGAGATTAGTTAAGGCATGAAACTTCTACACAATCCTCCAATTCTTGATATGATGCCTCCACTATGCTGAAATAATTTTGGTGTTTCAGTTCACCTGACCAAGTGTTACCTCCCCCAAATACACCACAATTTTATGTATGCATGTAGATTAAAAATAACTGTACATATGAATGTATATGTCTTAGACCAACATGTTTGCTAGAGGGACACATGATGTTGGCCACATGTTATTTGCTGATGATATTGTTTTAACCGATGAAACTAGAGGACTATGTTCCAAATTGGAGGTTTGGAGAGAAGTAGGAATAAAACTGAATATATGTAGTGTAATTTTAGTAAATCAAAAATTGTAAACAGGAAGGTAGTGAGGACTGAGGATCAAGAGATACAGAAAAGTGAACATTTCCATTATTTAGGCTCAATTATTCATGATGAAGGAAAAAATGGAGATTATGTTGATCAATAGAATCAAGGCAGGATGGATGTGTTGGGAGACAAGAAAGAATAAAATTATAAATGAGCACATTCATAAAATGGTTGAAGTAGAAACCTATTGGAAATAAATTGAGAGAAAACTTATCAAGATGGTTTGGACATGTGTAAACATCACTAAGTGCTCTAGTTAAGAAGAATGGCATAGTCCACATAGAGGCTAATAATAGGGAAGGGAAAAACCAAAGTTAATGTGAGTAGAGTTAGCAACTTTATATTAACATGCTTTTTGACTGAGGCTATGAGGCTATGACTTTGGATAAAGCGGAATAGAAAAATAAGATTCATTTTAGCCGACCCCAGGTAATTGGAAAAAGGTTTTGTTGAGTTGAGTTTTTATATATACATATATGTATGTAATAGTGTGTATGAATATTTATACATCTCCATACTCTTCTGCCCAACTTCCATATGTTTGCATGTGGGATATTGGATAGAAACAGGTTTTGCACACCAGTAACCAAACCCAATCCAGATAGCCTCTCCTTCATTTATTTATTTTTTTTCCCAAGAACAAGTCCAAAAATAATGCCACATAGCAAGCCTAAACGTCAAAACCTAAATCATTCAAAAACAAAAACCTTTCTCGCATGAAAGCCTAGACCCCTAATATATTAGGTCTATGTCACCTTCAGTTTGATCTAGTGAATAGTACTCTGAATGACATATTATCTATATTCTATATCCTAAATAAAAACCAAGGGTTCAATCTACGTGATCAACAAGACTAACAGCATGTATAAACCATCACTGTCAAGTTTATATCACTGACCATACATATGGCTGGTCGACATAGAAATTTTTCTTCAGTTCAAATTAAGAATATTAGGGACCATTGCTTTGTGCTGCAATAAAACCCGAGGCTGTCAAATGTGAAAACATAGGATCAAGTCTAAGAGCAGCAGCTTTGTGCATGTAATAACGTGAGCCGTCTGTATTTTGTTCACCTCCCAAACAATCTGGAATGGCAGGAGACACATCATCCTATCATGGCTTTTTCTAACATTGAAAATCCAAGAGTATTAAATAATTGACCTAGGAAATTCTTCCATATGCCTGCAAATAACCAGTTATTGTTAAGCAGGATACTGTAACATGGTCATAATACAAGGTTTGCCAAGCACCAATCAACCACGTTAAGGAACCCAAAATCCTTCCACCCAAAAATTGAGAAATTCCTAGCACCAGATTTGTTGAAAAACTGTGTTTCTGAATTGAATCTATACAAGATTTTTGAGACATACATGAAGTAGGTGATAGTGATGGAGATGGGGAAGAGGAGTTAATCATCCAAGGATTGAGGAAGTCATGTACATGCCAGAGTACTTTCCTTGCTTTTGGACATTAACAACGTTATCATGTCAGTCAAGACTCAAAACACACTTTCCATATTCCTAACGTCATGTGGGATACTTAACCTTCATACAAACAATATTACAGCACAGCTATGTCTCAAGTATCATTGTTCAACTCCCAATCAGCCGCCGAGTCTCATCCAATTAATTTTAGAAGCCAGTTGGTCCAATGCCAGCATTAAATAAGGATAAAATCTCACCTCCATGTGTCCATGGAAACAAAAATACCTAGAGTAATCCTTGTTCCCATTCTATCAATCTTTTATTTTATTCAGAATGCTTTTATGTTAATCAAATAAAATATAGAAAAGGAAAAGGAAAAAACAACACACCTGTCTCCAGACTTCTTCATTTGGTGCATTCTTGTCAGCAAGCATTATAGAATAAGGTTTTTTCCGGCGTTCATCAGCAATTTTCTGCCAATACCTTCCTGTTAATTGGCAATAACAAAAATTATTCAACGACTGCCAAGTTCAATATTTGCCTTGTGACAAGCTATCAAAATGAAACTATATATTACTTCAAGACTATCCAAAAGGAGTTAAACCTCAATTTTCCCAATAGATAGTAATTTTTAATTCTCAGCAGAAAAGGCTCTCCATCCTTCTCTCTTCAATATTTTATATATATATATATATATATTTTTTCCTAGTTAATATTTTATGTTAGTACCTTCAGTCAAACTAATAAATTTAACACATTAACATTTAACAGATTTGCAATTGCTATTGATGTTGATTTACAACATGCACTAAAATGATTCAATGAAGGTGATCTATACAATTGCAAGATGTTCCATTCAGTTATCAGGAATACTCATCACATCTTTTGAGAAAACTCCACAATTTTTCTTAGAATTTCAACTAAATAAATTTTAAATTTCAAAATAACAAAAAGCCCGAATTCTTCTAATGCAAGCCTTTCATTCTTACTTTTTTTAGAATTATCCCAACATAACTGTGCAACCGTGTTAGTCCAACTGGCTCTCAAAATTGGCCATGTAAAAAAAGAAGGAATTCCATATACAGAATCATCACGAACCCCGATCATGTTTGATCAACTGCTGGTATGTTATCTGCTCTCTAGGTGATACAGCCAATAACTAGAATTCAAATATTAGATTCACAAAAAGAGGATTTCATTGTCAAGAAATCAATGCCCCATCAAACATATTGTACATTATACATATAAATAATTGCACATTGATATCATCAACCATAATATCTTACAACTTGACTCGATCAGCCCTGAATCCAACAAGCCCCTTTTTGACAGTCAATGTAGCACTTTGATTTAGTAATTTCATGTGCTCATTCAAGAGGCGTCATTTCACAACAATTTCGAATAATAATTCATACCTTTAATAAGATCACCCATCAGACTATGGACTGGACGATCATCTCCAAGTCCTCCAGAGACGCTTAATATTTCCTTGCAAAGTGCAGACTTAGCACAACCAGGAATTCCTGAAAGCGGCAAATTTAGTAGACATCAAGATGAATGCATAAAGCTAGGAACAAAAGGTTTAGTGTCAGATGGCAGAGAAATTGAGTGACCAAAAGAAGTTCCTGACATGATTTGCAAGGAAATTCACATTCTATAATTCCGGCGACGCATAAAAGTAATAACTACTTCATGCTGAAATCTAAAACCCCACACCCCCCCCCCCCCCCCCAAAAAAAAGTTTTAAAAAAATGTAAGATGTGAATTAAAGCTTCCATTTTAAAAGGAGTACGAAGACCAAAGATGGAATTTTGTTAAGATAAAAGGACAAAGGTACAAGAACGAAATCTGGAGCAAAGACCTAAGACAGAGCGCATCAACATGAGGAATAATAGATAATATTTAGAGATGCTTCAATATGTATTATTAACTGTCTATGGCACTCTTGTGCAGTATTCATTCCTGGAACCCCAAAACTCTAGCATTTTGAAAGCAAGAAGGTGGAGGCATTCAGGAAAACTCTGTGAGTCCATGCCATCTCAAGAAGAAGCATCAGATGACAAATGACGCAGGACAATGTCAAAAAAGGGTTATCCTTATCTGTCACGATTGTGTAACTTAAATTTTTAACTTCCACAAAGGCTTTAGCATGCCAAATGGTTCTGAAGAATGAAAAAATAATATCCTAAAAGTGATCTTTAAACAATCTAGGCAACAGGGTAAAAAAAAAAAATTCAAGAAGTCATTTGGCACTGGCCACATCTCATCTCTAGACCATATTATAGTTGCAATTCTCAAAGGTAACATAATACAGTTTAATTTAGATAATTTCTACGTTAAATAATATAGTTTTTTTTTTTTTTCAGGGGAAAAAAAAGTCATTTAAATCAACTCAAGGGAAGTTTGACTATATTAACTCAGTTGAACCAGAATTATCTGCAATAGTATTGTATGAAGTTCAACAATCTGTTGAAAATGAACAAAAGAAAATAAGACATCCAAATATTCAATATCGGTTGTTCAAAACCCATTAAACTAAATGCAGTAGTAGATCAATCAATTAAAATATGCCACTAAAATTTTATGACAGCAACATCAATGGCAATTCAGGCAATTGGCATAAATTTTACCTGGAAAGAATACTATCATGCCCTCCTCTTTTGGAACGGTGTCCTTGACTGAAGAAGTGGGAATCATTGGTGCTATCTCCCTCTCGAGGTCGCCCTCTTCATCCCTCCCCCCCTCAACTATGGCCAAGAAATCTTCAGCTCTCACAAAGTTTCCAGCAGATCCTATGAGAGTCTGATTCTCTGGACTGCGTTTTGCATACTGTTCAAGAAAAGGCTCAGCTTCACTAAGGTATGTGGATGATAATAGATGCTTGCTTCCGTACTTCCTTTGTATGTACACTGCCCTAAACACAGAAAAAATTGCATTTCATATGCTGAACGAACCATAATCTCAAAAAGGTAAAACCAAGTAATATGCAATAAGGATACAGAGTCGAAGCAGTATTACCATTCATCTAGCATCTTGCTGAGTTCCCTCTGCTTTCCTGGAGAAGTGTTCCATATTTTCATTTGCCTATAACGTACAAGATATAGTCATTGACAGGATTATCAGACATATATCATATTTATATACATTGATAGGTAAAGGTTAATACTGAAGATGCCCAAGGTCATCTATCATGTAACATTTATCAAGGTTTGAAAATGGAAAGTATAATAATAAAAAATAAACTGCCATAACTCCACTTATTCCATGGTTACTTCCTCTTTCTGAAAGTAGAAATACATGTATTTGTCTATTAGGCTAGGTACATTGGAATGATCTGGTACAATCCAGAACTCCACATGAACTATCACTTAATTACATGAAGAAATCCAAAAAGGCAAAAAATGTTGTGCTCTGCCCTCCAAACATTGGTTACAGTTACAGTGACAGCTTTTGAAAACCATTATGCCAATTATGATAGCAGCAACCATTCTGCTTCTGAAGAATGAGATAAAGATTGTTACATCAAACGCAGCGAAACAAAACAAAGCGAAAACCACGACAGAAAAGTAAGCACGCCACACACAAAGAACACAAAGTACGTGGTTTGACACAAGTTGTGCCTACGTCCACGATGAAGATCCGGCAAAAGTTTTCTCTATGCGAAATATAGGAGATTACAGTTTCAGCTTCCAAACCCTAGCAGCTGCTCACTCTTTTTTCTGCGATTTTTAGTGTCTCTCATTATTCTACTCCAAACCCTATGTGCCCATTTATATAGGGCTATAAGAGAGTACTAAACAGGGTTCACGACCTGCACAAAAAAATCCTCGAACCGGGTCACGTCCGAACCAAAATTCAGGCCACAACATCAGAAAGATCAATACGGCTTTTTGAACTGTATTATTGTCTCCTTCTAATGACTCATATTTCACGATAATTTCAATCAAACAGCGAAAAATATAACATAAAAATCCCACAGTCAAAAAAGTATCCCGCATAAAACAGGAAGACAATCACTACACAGAAAATTTATAATAAGAAAAAAAAAAAAAAACAGAATCTCTTGAATATTTTGAATACACATTATGCTAGAAAGACCTTCTTGCCTTAAAGAGAAAGATATTGACAAGAAGCAAAGTTGCAACAAACTTGAAACAAAGTAGGATGACAATCATTATACACATAATACAAACTTCTTTTAATAAACCCCAAAAAAAAAAAGTACTTCCTCAAGCATCCTACATTTGATATTACATTAAAAGATATTTTTGTCCCTTTGAGATGGAAATACATCACATAGAAAATATTTTTAAAACAATAAAGCACTGTTAAGTTTATTGTCATCAGCATTAATCATGCAGTAAAAAGAATTCTAATTAAACAAAAATAACTTGTGGAGGTTAAAATGCCCAAACCACATCTCATAGCTATAAGGTTTAGAAATGGAAAAAACCAAGAAATGTAGACAAATCTAAACCATAGGGAACCAATATATCCTAGATCAGGAGTTACCAATTCAAGCTCTATTGCCAGCATTACACATGTATGTACAGAGACACAAAATAATTTCAGTCCAATAGATGTTTTTGATCATTCATCTTCAACGACCATAAATTTCATATATATATATATATATATATATATATATATATTGTTTCAATTATGTGATAAATATATTGTTTCAATTATGTGATAAATATATTGTTTCATTTATGGGATAAACACATGATATTAAGATCACACCCTCTAACCTTCAAGCTTACAATCACAACTCAATGGAACTGAATGCACAAGCGTACCTCAGGTAATAGGCCCTGTAAGAAGCTGGACCTTCTTTGAAAAGAATTGCCAAGCCATTGCGGATCAAAAAAGTTCGCAACTGTGCAGCAAAAGAACAAGAGTGATGAAAGTGAAATTATTTGGCACATCGCAAGAGAATCATCAAGAAACAGAACAAAAAATACAGAGTTGAAAAGCAAATGAGATGGAAATTTTTCAGAAGAGGCAATTAAAAATGCAGACATTTGACCAACAAATAACAGCACCTAACTAGTCTTCCCAAAATAATTGGGTGATAATTATTAGATTAGACAAGTCAACAAACAATAACAACAATATCAATCCATGAATTACATTTGTGTAATTTCAACAAAGTTCATGATTTTGTGACTGCATGTGTATTCAATTTTTTTCCTTTTTCTTTTTTTTCCTTCCTATCTCAAGGGGGTGGTGGGGCTATCATATAATGTTATCCAAACTTCCAAATAGAAATGAACAGCTAAATACATTTGTCGACTTATGTTCAATATTTCAATCCCTCGCCACTCCTAAAGAAAAATGCCATTACCCAGTTGGTCCCCATTATGCGAGTGCGCTCAGAATAGACACCATGGTGCTGTTATCATATAACATCGTCCAAACATCCAAAAGAAATCAATAGCTAATATGTATATCAATATTCAATATTTCAGACTCACCAATCCTGAAGAAATGCCAGTTACTGTTAAAATAGATTATGTCAAAAACCAACCTACACTGTTTCCATGTAGTGGCTGCCCTCAGACCCGGATCTGTGTGCCAAGTAATGGCTCATCGAGGAAAGCATATGAGACTAGCATACCATCCTGCCATTTAAGATCAATAATGTGTTTCCTATCCCCACACCCTATCTATGGAATACAACCCTCCTTTCAATAATAGAGGTTTGAAGAAAAAAATTTATAAATACAAGGGATAATCTTTTAACCAGATATTCAAATAATAAACTCCCTAGACATAAATACATTTCCATCAAGTAACAAGAACATAATCATCAAATACATATTTTTATCTACAACAAACTTTTTGCATAAGCAAGCATACCTTGTAAGTTAGAAATTTCAATTTGATCATCAGATTTGCGTCTTCATCGGCTAAACCATCTTTCCCCAATGCTCCATTTTCACTGTTGATATTTTTTATCATACCATTGCCCGTTTTTTCAATGTCAGAAGCTTTATCCTTGTCCGCCTTGAATAAATTTATATCAACAAAAAAACCTGGGGGGAGTAAATCAACAGATCATATCTTTTAGCACAGAGATAGCAAAACAGCACATAAGTTAATATGCTAAAGCAGTAAATTATTCTATGCACATACTTTTGTTTTGCCCTCACTTGTGAATAATAAATATATACCTCACATCCATATAACATGGACTGCTAACAGTCCCTTAAGGTCACTTCCCAGCCTTATACCACCACTAAAGAGATCTGACTACCATTCCACAGTTAAATCTTGATATTCGTAGTGACTGGCATTTTAGGTTAAATATAAGGATATGGAAGATTGCTTATGGAGAACAACACATCTACCTAAACTCAAAATCCATCTTTCATGAAGAGGTTAGGGGTATAATTAACATCTTAAAGATTATCCAGAAGAAAAATTTTCTCTAGTTTCTTGGATATTTCAATTTCAGTGCAAATTTTCGGGGTATTACTCTCAATTCCTATGGTTTAGCACACATCTCATGACAAACTTATGCACCACTCGGTTTTTTTTTCCCCCGTCTTTTTCTCCTTTTTTTGGATAACTAGACTTGTGTACTACTCACAACAGTGGGGTTTATTTAATCAACAGAGTGTTGCCCAGATCCTATCAAATACTGTTGAAGCTTGGATCAAAGAAAATGTTGGCACCACTTCAAAGAAAATGTAGGCACTACTTCATCATTACTAAAATCTTTCTCATATAAGCAAAAATATAAGGTACAAGAGAAGATGCAACTCATGTATAGTATGTCTACTAGAAGTATGAAGAAAACTGTACAACTGAACAAAAGGACCTGACTTCTTCTATCCTAGTATCCATGTTCATAAGAATGCCTAGGCTACAAAGAGATCCCAGGCTTGTCTGCTATAATGCCCAATTCTATGACAAGTGACCCTTTTAATCAAGAGCACATAAATTCCTCCAGCAAGCACGTCTCTGTGGACTCCAGGCTTAGAAAAAGCAGAGTTTTATCTTTTATTATTTAATCATATCATATTGATTTCTTTTCCTTTTGTTTTAGATCCATTTATTGACATGCCTTATATCGTGTCATGGTCTTATACAATAGATCATATTTTTAAACCATATCGTTTCTTGAGATCATATTTGTGTGTGTGCCCAGATCCTATCAAATACCTTTGAAGCTTGGATCAAAGAAAATGTTGGCACTACTTCATCATTCATTGTCTTAAGATAACTTATACTAATGCAGAATCCACTATATAATTAAAGTCTTTCCCAAATAAGCAAAAATATAAGGCATAAGAGAAGATGCAACTCATGTATAGTACGTCTACTAGAAGTATGAAGAAAACTGTACAACTGAACAAAAGGACCTGACTTCTTGTGTCCTAGTATCCATGTTCATTAGAAGCCCTAGGCTCCAAAAAGATCCCAGGTTTGTCAGCTATAATGGCCAATTCTATGACAAGTGAGACCCCTTTTAATCAAGAGCACATAAATTCCTCCAGCAAGCACGTCTCCGTGGACTCCACGCTTAGAAAAAGCAGAGTTTTATCTTTTATTATTTAATCATATCATATTGATTTCTTTTCATTTTGTTTTATATCCATTTATTGACATGCTTTATATCGTGTCGTGGTCTTATACAATAGATCATATTTTTAAACCATATTGTTTCTTGAGATCATATTTGTGCGCGTGCGCGCGCAGGGTGGGGGGAGCCCTTCCGCAGCTTCAGAAAGGGGAGAATTCGGAAACATGGCGCCTTCCAACTTGTAAAAGTGCACACAAACTAAAAAACACGATGCAACCAAAAAAGGTTCAGCAACAAAGCCCACACCAAAATGACCACTCTACAATGCATAACCAAGTGATACACCAATAATGCCTCCTTACAGATGTAAATATCAGGTTGCTACGATTTTTCCTCTTTTCCTCGACTGATCAATTGCTAGAATTTTCCCATGCAACACCAACCAAGGGAACAAGGCCGCTTTACGAGGCACCTATGATCTCCATAATCTTTCCAAGAAAAAGATGTCTCGAATGTTCTACCACTTCAAAGCACTCCATCCCAACTCATCCACTTCCCTTGTATATTCCATCCAAGCTTCAAAAATACCCACTACCCTAACAATTTCCTAGTATTAAATGCCAACATTCCGAAACACAATACACCTAAGTGAGTAAATAAGGCCACATAGGTAAGCGCATATTCTCCACATTAATTGCAAGAAAAAGCAACGCTGAGGCACTCCATTTCACTTTGTCCACTTCCCCCGAAATCCCATACGGGACTTCAAAAGAACCCAATACATCTTCCACTTCTCCATATCGTATGCAGACTCAGAATTCAATATTCCAAAACACAATAGTCCTGAGTGAGCAAGATGATCTGCCACCATCGTCTTCCTAACAATAATGATCCCCAAAATCAAGGAACTGCTCCTTTAATGAATTCTACTCACAACACATACCATGCAAAAAAACTGATATCATTCCCTTTGCCCAAGCGAAAGCAGATGGATCTGAAGAAGTTATCCACTTCTTTCCTAATACTTCTTACCTCATAAGAAGTAATTACCCCTAATAAACACCAATTCCCTCTGGAAAACCCATATTCAGCTGCCAGAACACTCTTTCAAAAATAATTGATCTCATTATTAACATGCTCTCTTTCGTTAACAATTCATATAACTGATGCGAGAACAAGACATACTTGAGCCTTTTTACACTTGACAAATTCTGCTGGTACAAACCACAATGACTATGTGTGAAGCGTTACAGATGTAAATTTATATATACTCTTTCGTCTACAATGTAGTATACCTTACATTATGTAATATCTCGAGATAAATACTTATTATTTACCCTCGTTAATGAACAATATACAAGCTTTATAACATCATTATTCTGTCCATATCACAAATAAGATTGTTCACAAAATAAACTACAATAAACAATTGCAGAAAGCTTTGAGTGGTGAAATTTGTTAATGCCAGGAGAGGATCTCAGCTCCTCCATATACCATGATGCTCAATCCAATTGATGAATTATTATGAACCACTACCATGACTCTTTGGATTGTGAGGATAAAACATTTTAAATGGGAAGAGAGAGAGAGAGAGAGAGATTAGCAAGAAAGATGTGTATACCTCGATATAGAGGCCACAATCCTGGCTTGTGCCTGAAACAGTCCACACATTTCTTCGATTAGAAGATACAAAGGTAAACCATATTTTCTGTTACTCAAAAGAGATGATAAATTACTAATTCACAAATTAAGCAAACCTCATCTCTTTCTGGTATCGTCGAAAAGTTGAATCACTATGCACATGGATAACCATTTTGAAATACAGGTTGTCACTCGTTACAGAGTCAATTTTGTGGAAGTTATAGTAACACTTAAAAGCAGCAGGATAACGATTCTCTCTCATCAACCGAATCATTTCCTGCAAATGAATAAAAAATGAAATTAAAATAACAGGACGACTATCCTGAGTCAGAATATCACATATTATAAAAGAAATTATACATTCTCAAAGTCATAAAGATCCCTGAATAGGTAATTGAAACATGAGATAATTCATATCCTCTACTAAAAGAATTTGAAACTCGCACACAACAGATGTACAACTACTATCAAAGGTGTTATAAAATTCATTTAGAAAATGTGATTAGATTTCTAATTGTTTAAGAATGGTATAACAAGTAAGCCTGACCTGAAATTTAGTAGTAGAAAAATCAGCAGGATGCGCTTGTAAAAATTTTGAAAGAACAGATCGATCAACATTTCTTGATTCCACATCAGCGGTCTCATCTCCAAACCAATCCAAATAATCAGGGCAGAAAGAGGTGCCAATACACTGAAGAAGTGCTCTTATTTGCTGCAGTAGTATAGTTAGAAAAATAAATCAACAATTAATGGAAATATCTCACCTCAAAGTCAACAATCAAATGTGATCACAAACCTGCTGAATTGGAACATCATATATCGTATTTAAAGCACTCCTACATTACCTGTTTTTCAGACCTATTTGCAGCACATATTTCCCGCAAACTTGGTCCCAAATCTAAGCCAGCTGACATACAATACAAAATTAGGAAGAGACTAAACAATACAATAACCAAAGCTATAATTGACATATATATAGATATATATATATATATATATATATATATAGAGAGAGAGAGAGAGAGGACAAAAGAAAGAAAACTGTCTATCGGTCAAGGTAACTATACAAATACACAAACATAAAAAATAAAAAATAATAATAAAAAAAAGAATCAAATGCATAGAATTTTGGACATATATGGGTAGTAAACTATGCCTATAGCAACCTTTATCTATTCTTGAAGATTATTTAGTTATAAGCAGAGAAACCTTAGTTCATGAGTTGAACAAAATTACAAGGTACAACTCAAGAACAAAAAAAGAAACGTTAACCAACACAAATCCCAACATATACAAGACAAAAACAAGTTCACGGCAGTTTCAATAACATATATCAAGAAAAACACATCAAGCATTTAGAAAGAACAAATGAGCAATAAAAGAAACCAAACAAATGTGCATGACATTGCTTATAGCATTAAAAACGATACAACTAATAGCTCTCAAGAGAGAATTTGGCTGACAAAAGAAGTACTCAACCAGAATATCAAAAGCATAAAGGATAAAATAAGCATACCTCCCTCGAAGGGTGGTGGGGGAAAATCTCTCAAAACCTGTTCCATATGTTTCGAGCTCTCATGGCCAACTATACGAGCCACAAGACCCTCCAAGATTTCACCCTGCACCGTAGTATGGTCTTTTGATCCTGCATATCAATTCAAAAGCTTTTCAATATTCAGCATACCTCTCAAAAATCCGACTTAAAAAAGAAACCACATTGCAAGCTCAGGCATATGGCAATTGATGTTACATATCTATGTTATGTGAACTCTTCCAAATGCTTGACGTACCCATGTCAGACACACGGCCATCTGTGTTACATGAAATCACCTAAGTGCTTGAAGTTCCCATGCCGAACTTATGACTCTTGGGGATATATATGGACATGAATTATGCTTTTGGCCTATCAGGTTAAACATCCATCTAGTGAGCATATCAAATTATGTCCCTTTCACTATATTATTGCTTCAAAACAAGGATGGTATCCTTGTTGAACTCTATATACTCCAAAAAGTAAAAAATAATTAAAATTTGGGCTGCAATTAGTGTACTTGGACACATAACCCAAATCTGAGACACACTAATCCATATAATAAAGATGACAACTTACTGCAATTGAAGAGAGAACCATGTCCAAAAAAAATCCAACTCAAGTAGAGGTCAACATTTTGGACAACTCACCCAACAAAACATAGTAAAATGACAAAATATACACGAGAACTTGCCTAATTGGTAGCCCAGAAGGATCTCATGTAGAAGGTAGGGGGATCAAGTCTCACCGAACTCATTTCTTGAACATATGGACAGTGTTCTTCATAATAGTACAAAAAAGGAGGGAGGGGGAACAAAAAACAAACTGCCGTTTGGAGAACAAGCAGCACTGGAGGCAGTAGAAGTATGTTGGTAAAAGCATAAAACAGCCAAAACCCATTTTGTAGGATTGGTGCCAAAGGTGGTCAAACAAGCGTCATGGTGGAGGTGATAATGAAGGTAGTTTTATGGACAGCTGGATAGGGTCAAGGTTATAGTACGTCACAGTCACACTGATAGAGAGGTGGCATTAAGATGCAGCAGTGATGCCTATGGTAATTATGTAGGAAGGGTGTGAGGGTAGCTATGACGACAAAATGGGATATAATTCAGGGAACCGTGATGTCATAGAGGTTATGAAGACAGTAGAAGGCTATATAAGCAGCACAGCAGGCAGAAGAAAAAATGGTAGTATTGTTTGTTTTTTATAGTCTGAAAAAACAATCTTTTTTCATACAATGCAAGATGTGAACAGCCTTTATTTGATATGCAAATTTTACAAAAATAACAACTCATTTAAGAAAGCAAAAGTGCAGAATCAGAAAAGACAAGAACAATGAACCTCACACTTATAATCTACCTGGTATGCATATATCTGCAACTTCATCAAGAGCCTTACATACAGATGTTGCAGTTCCTTCCTCGCAGAGTACATCAAAGGCAGCAAAAAAAGATGTCACAGATTTCCTTGAGTATCAAATAACAGCACATAAGAATAACATTAGTCTCAAAATTTGGAACTTTAAGAGAAAGTAGTTTTCTAGCAGAAAAAGCATTGTAACACTAATCCCAAAATATCTTCTTTAAGCCGGGCGGGGGGAGGAGGGGAAGGACATTGTTAATCTACAAGCCTCACTCAGAACATCCCAATTACGACCGAAAAACAAAAATTAAATAAAAAGGACAAGAAAATCTTTGCGGACAATCTGAACAAGTCAACCCACTTTTGTGACTTATGTCCATAATTACGCATAATATATTAATATCATTTATGTAGTCACAGAAAGTTCATACAATAAAGTTAATATAACTGAACTTTATTCCAACAAGAGAACACACTTGTCCACAAGATCATAAAAATGCCTAGACAACAAAATAATTTTCAGTGACTAAAAGGCATGGAATTAACACATGGGTAGATTGAATTGGCTGAGGGCATCTCAGGTTTGACTGGGTTTCCTAATGCACTAAAATCGCGGTAGTTTGTATTCACTGAACTCTAAATAAGTTGAACCGCCCTGACAAAATGTAACCCAAGAAGAGGGGAGGAAAGAAAAGAATTTAAAGGACAACTAGGCCCCATTTCAAAATGATTGACCTACATAATATAGGTGATTCAAAAGATCAACCTACATAATATAGGTGATATGGTGAAGGCATCAATAAAAACGATGAAATGAAATTATCGTGGTTAAGGTAGTGAACCCAAATACTTTGCACTGAAACTTTGCTGAGAAAAGCTCATCAAAGAAGCAGAGTATAGGTTCACGCCAAACTGTATGCTAAGGAGTTTTATGAAAAATTCCTCTACAAGTCCATTCTTGGAGACAAAAACCAACTCTTTATAGAGATGTTGCATTGTCCACCATTGCAATTGCATGTGATAACTTGGTAAAGAGGCATCAGTTATCATTAAAGACTTGTTTATGTATAAGAATACTAAGCCACTGATATAACTTAGAAAAGAGGCATCATTTTATTGTTAAAGACTTCATTATGTATGAGAATGATGAAGAGACACAGACCATTTGTGAGTACATTGTTTTGTTGCAAAGAAGCCATGGGCTCTTCTTCTTCACCCTTTTAGTAGCAAGTTGGGTATTTAAGCAAAGGTAGACTGAGATTGGCTGTGCCTTACGTGATGGCTGTTGGTTTCTTAAGTCATGGGAAGTCCTGATTTTGAAGCTGACATTTTTTTTTCTTTTGAATCTATGTATTTTTACATAGAGGAATTTCTGTTATGTACACCTCTTTTGTAGAGTTTTCAGGTTACATGAGGGTATAGTTTTTGCTTAACTTGGTCACGCATACATTGTGTCTTCACGAGCATGTCACTATTATCATGGACACAACAAGTGTTCAACACGAGAAAATGTAAAATTTTAGATTTATATATATATAATAAAGAAAATGGGAAGAAATTAAAAGAAAACTAATCATTCAGGATATTTATTGAAACAACAGGCGTTTCTTTATGATATATATATATGCATATAAGAAAATTCATGAAAACATTATTTTCATGATAAAGTTGTCAAAGGTGTAAACTAGAAGATTATCTTCATACACAACTTTCCCATTTACTTAACAAAGCCATGAAACTTTTACTCAGAAATTCACAATGTGTATGATTAAGTTTGCAGGTATCACACGCTACAATATTAGCTTCCTGGGTTATCACTACCCATCGCAACTGCAGTACTTATTACTTTATTAGTTTTATTCAAGTAATCACATGTCATCTTAATCAAATGAAACCAAAAATATATATACTAATGATTACAATATATATATATATATATATACACACACTAAAATAGATTGGATTGACCAGATCCAATCAAACCCGGGAATTCTAAAAAATTCTTCAAATTTAAAATCGGCAAAAGGTCACCTAAATTTTAAAAGAAATATATATTGCTGCAAGAGCACAAGTTAAATAGAAGCTCACACGCAAGGCTTAACACAATCCACAATATCAGCACAACTAAAGAACCAATAGTTTTAGATATAGCTCATCTTTAACCTAATAAATCTCTTAGAACATCACCTCGTGGAGAACAACCACACTTGATTTGTTGGTAGTCGCCATCTCCTACAAAAAGCGATTATATCAGGAGTTGAGTAGAATTTCGGTTTTCCATTGCCAAGTTCTGTGACTGCTGTCACTACCACTGCCAAAGATAGGACCAAAATATTAAGGAATTAGGATAGAAAAATGGATCCAACAATCATCTAAAAAAAATACATATGAAATTTCCTGCTATGCGATAAGTTCATAACAAAAAAAAAAATAACAATATAAGTTTCATGATTAACATCCATGAAGATAGGGAACTTAAAAGGGCATCTCAAAGAAACAGAAAAGTCGGTGGTATAAACTGACATGGATGCATGATGATATTCATCAAGAGATCTAGAAAACTCAACCCTCTAAAATAGCATGCATTCATTAATGTATCAACATGCAGAGTTCCATTACTATTAATGGGTGGCTCCTCAATTTCTTATGGGTGGTAGCATCTCAGGCAAATGATTAGTAGCAGCAAAAACCTAATCTCAATGTGCACCCAAGAAGTGCCAACCTCTAAGAAGGAAGAAATATCCGTTCAAACAGGGATGGAGACAGGATTTCGAGTGGGAAGTAGGGATGGCAATTTCCTCTGACCCGGCAGGTTTCCGCCCCGCCCCTAATAGGGTGGATTTAGTGGCCCCCTAAATGGGTTTGGGATGGGTATGGTAAAATAATTGAAAACCCGAAGCGGGTTAGGGGTGGAGACAGATTTAGTGATGAACCCGCCCCGATTATATATGTACCTTTTAATTTTTTATATATATAAAATATTTATTTTATATTTTTAAGACTCTTGTTACTTTGCCGGAAGTGTCCGTTAATATATTAATATTCACTACTTAGTAATTTAAAAGTTGTGCCAGCTTATTTATCAGCCCAATTTGAGCACATTCGGCTAGTTTTTTTTACTAGTACATAATAAAAGTGGCATAACCCGGCCTGCCCCCGCAATTAAACGGAGTACATAGGGCGGAGTCAGTACTTTATCTACCGAAGTAGGGGCGGGAATGGTATAACAATTACAAATATGTTCCGGAGTAGGGACGAAGTTGGTATGATAGATTTTCTAACAGGACGGAGTAGGACCCACCCCAACTCTGCCCCATTGCCATCCCTAGCGTGTGTGTGTGTGTGTGTGCAGGAGGGGGGCGCGCACGGCCCCTGGGGGTAACAATATATATGTATATAATATGACAAATATAAAATAAGAAGAAAATTATTCAAATATGCACATTAAAAAGAAGAATTTAAGAAGTATAAAAAGAAAAGGAAAGAAAAATGAGAGGACTTTGAAAGGAAAAAGTTAGAGTTCAATTGAGGAAGAAAATTTTGACTTTTTCTTTTAAGGGAATTAAAAGAATTTGAAGACTAAAAGAGAAAATAAAGAAAAAACTAAGAGATTATTTTAGAAACTAAAAAAATTAGGGGGGGCATTAGTTGGAGATCTCCCATTTGATGTTTGTGGATGACACTTTAGCGTTTTGTGATGCGAATGTGTCCGGGGGCATCAATTGGAGATCTCCCATTTGATGTTTGCAGATGACACTTAAGTGTTTTGTTATGCGGATGTGTCCCAGATGAGATATCTTAGATGTATTTTGATTTGGTCCCAAGTTGTCTCAGGGCTCAAGGTGAATGTGGGGAAGAGCGTTTTGGTGCCGGTTGGGGAGGTCCTTGGGATCGCATCATTAGCGGAAATCCTTAGATGTTGTATCGGTTCCTTTCCCATCTCTTATTTAGGTTTACCCCTTGGATCATCCTCGAGGTGTGTTGGGAGTTAGGATCCGGTTGTGGAAAGATTCGAGAAGAGACTAGCGATATGGAAGAAGCAGTACCTCTCCAAGGGTGGAAGGGTCACTCTGATAAAGAGTACCCTTTCAAGCCTTCTCACTTATTTACTCTCTTTGTTCTAGATACCCTTTTCTGCGGCTAAGAGGATTGAGAGATTGCAACGGAATTTTCTGTGGGGGGTAATAGGGGAGGAGTTCAAGTTTCATCTAGTTCATTAAGAGCAGGTGTGCAGGCCGATCCGGGTCGGAGGCTCGGGCTTTAGAAGATTAGTGCCTTTTAATAAGGCTATCCTTTTTTCTTTTTTTTCCTGATAAGTAAAATTTTATTAAAAACGCTCAAAAAGGGAGCGAAGCCCAGAGAAACAAAAGGAAAGCAAAAAGGCCAAAGGGCGCCTTAGACCTTCAGAGAGGCCGAGAAAACAATAATTTCCTCCATAGATCTATAATCTCTCCCTGAAACCCAACAAAAAAGAGTATAAATAACAGAGAACTTAAGCATAGAAACAGGCTTCTTTTTTCCGTCAAAATATCTCCTATTTCTCTCAAGCCAAATACACCACCAGATACAAAGCGGCGTAGCCCTCCAAGAGTCCCTAATGCCAGCCCCAACAGAGACGCCTCTCCAAGCCTCAATCAACCCTCTAGAGGAAGAAGACATGGCCCAATGGACCCCGAATAATCGAAGCATCAAATCCCAACAATCTCTGGCCATGCTGCAATGTAAAAGGAGGTGATCAACAGATTCCTCATTACATAAACACATGTAACAGTGATTGACCACCACCTGATTCCTCCTCCTTTGATTATCCTGGGTTAAAATCTTACCCAGAATAGAAGTCCAAGCAAAAAAGGCGACCTTGCGGGGAGCCTTGGAACACCAAATAGACTTCCAAGGGAATGGATCTCCATGACCAACCGAAAGACATCTGAAAAAGGACCTAACCTCAAAACGGCCATGCGAGTTAGGAATCCAGAACCACCAATCCGATTCCGCAAAATAAATCACTTGGCTATACAACAGCTCCAGAAAACGAGAAACATCCTCGATCTCCCAATCCTGAAAATGCCTCCTGAACTGAACATCCCAAGACAGTCTCCCGTTATCAAGATTATAACAGTCGACAACCATGGCCTGTCGATGAGAAGCAATCCTGTAGAGCCGTGGGAACGCTAGAGCAAGAGGGAGTTCCCCACACCAGAGATCCTTCCAAAAACTGATCCTCCTTCCATCTTTAATACGAAAACGAACATGCTTGCAAAAGTCATCCCAACCTCTCCGAATGAAATGCCAAACTCCCACCCCCCTTGGACCACGCATCACCAGAGAGCACCACCCACCATGACTTTCCCCATATTTGCTAGCAATAACTTTCCTCCATAACCAATGCCTCTCGATCCCAAACCTCCAAAGCCATTTACCAAGGAGAGCCTTATTAAAAGGCAACAACCTCCGAAACCCTAAGCCTCCAAATCGAATTGGATGGCACACTTGATCCCACTTTTAACTCTTCTCCTTTCCCTCCCCAAAGAAAATTGCACTGCAATCTTTCAATTCTCTCAGCCACTGAAGAAGGAATCTGAAACAGAGATACGAAGTATGTAGGAAGGCTAGAAAGGGTGCTCTTAATCAGGGTAACCCGACCCCCCTTGGACAGGTACTACTTTTTCCAACCCGCCAACCTTCTCTCGACTTTGTCCACAACCGGATCCCAGCTCCCCACGCATCTCGAAGGGGCACCCAAAGGCAATCCTAAATAAGAAATGGGAAAAGAGCCGGTGCAACATCCGAGGATCTGAGCAAACAACTCAATTTCTGGAACATCCCCAACAGACACAAGAAGACTCTTACCAACATTAACCTTAAGGCCAGACACAACTTGAAACCAAATCAGAACGCATCTCAAAAACCTCAGCTGGGACGCTTCCGCATCACAAAACACAATAGTGTCATCTGCAAACATCAAATGAGAAACCTCCAATTGACTAGCAGCATCCCTACCCACCCGAAAGCCTCCCAAAGAACCCAACTCCATAGCCCTCTTCAGCAATCTGCTAAGAGCCTCCATCACAAAAAGGAACAGAAAAGGGGAAAGCAGATCCCCTTGTCTCAAGCCCCTCGAGCTAGAGAAGAAACCCGTCGGCACTCCATTCACAAGGACAGAGAAACGAGCGCTAGAGATGCAAAAAAGAATCCATCTCCTCCACCGCCCACCAAAACCCATCCTCTCTAAAAGGTAGAGTCGTATGCCTTTTCAATATCTAGCTTGCAAAGAACACCCGGAACACCATTGCTCAAGCGGGAATCAACACATTCACTAGCAATAAGAACTGAATCCAAGATCTGCCGACCTCCCACAAATGCATTCTGAGAGTCAGAAATGAGACCATCCATCACCTTCTTCAACCTAGAGGCCAAGACTTCCGCAATCAGCTTGTAAAAACAACCCACCAAACTAATAGGGCGGTAAGTCTCTAACATTCATAGCCTCTCCCTTCTTCGGAATAAGAGCAATAAAAGTTGCATTCAAACTTTATCTCAAAAGAGCCCTGCGCATGGAAGGCATGAAAAGAGCCCATCACCTCCCCACGGACCACCTCCCAACACTCCAAAAGGAACCTCATAGTAAAACCATCCGGTCCAAGAGCTTTATCCCCATAACAGCTCTTCAGAGCAGAGAGAACTTCCTCTTCTGAAAAAAGGCTCTTCCAAAACAGAGCACTCCTCTCCCGAAATAGAATCAAAATGAATCCCAACAAGCAAGGGACGCCAAACAGCTGACTCAGTGAACTGCGACGAAAAGTACTCAGAGAAACTCTTACTAATCTCCTCCTCTTTACTAATCAACACCCCATCCACCCTAATCCTCCCAATGTGGTTGCCTCTTCTGTGAGCATTGGCAAGTCTATGAAAGAATTTAGTGTTATTGCCTCCTTCTTTAAGCCACAAAGCTCTAGATTTCTATCTCCACGAAATCTCCTCCATAACAGAAATCTCAACAAACTCTGCTTGACACTCCACCCTCCTACGCTTCAAAAGACCCGTCAACAGACCCCGACTCTCCATCTTCTCAATGTCAGCAATCTCAGAGAGAACCCGATTTTTTCTCCAGACCAAATTAGCAAACACTTCTTTGTTCCAAACTTTGAGATCATTCTTAAAAAAACGCAACTTGCCTGCCAAAGAATGACTCGGAGTGCCAACCACTCCATACCCCGCCCACCAGGATCGAACTCGCTCCAAGAAACCTTCAACACGAAGCCACATATTCTCAAATCTAAATGGGGATCTTCTGCTACGCAGCCCGCCACA